AACCACAACTCCTGGAACCACAACTCCTGGAACAACAACTCCTGGAACCACAACTCCTGGAACAACAACTCCTGGAACATCAACTCCTGGAACCACAACTCCTGGAACAACAACTCCTGGAAGCACAACTCCTGCAACCACAACTCCTGGAACCACAACTCCTGGAACAACAACTCCTGGAACCACAACCCCTGGAACAACAACTCCTGAAACCACAACTCCTGGAACCACAACTTCTGGAACAACAACTCCTGGAACCACAACTCCTGCAACCACAACTCCTGCAACCACAACTCCTACAACCACAACGCCTGGAACCACAACTCCTGCAACCACAACTCCTGCAACCACAACCCCTGCAACCACAACTCCTACCACCACAACTCCTGGAACCACAACCCCTGGAACCACAACTTCTGCAACCACAACTCCTGGAACCACAACTCCTGGAACAACAACTCCTGGAACCACAACCCCTGGAACAACAACTCCTGAAACCACAACTCCTGGAACCACAACTTCTGGAACAACAACTCCTGGAACCACAACTCCTGCAACCACAACTCCTGCAACCACAACTCCTACAACCACAACGCCTGGAACCACAACTCCTGGAACCACAACTCCTTCAACTACAACTCCTGGAACCACAACTCGTGCAACCACAACTCCTGCAACCACAACTCCTGGAACCACAACTCCCGGAACCACTCCTCGCCCAGGCAGGTTCCTTGTCCTTCCTCATGTGTCCCTTTTCCTCTCCTTCCCCCCCGGGTCTCGCGGTTGCTGTTGTGGTGTGCCGTGTCGCATGTGGCTTTCCTCCCCGCCTGTCTGGTGCGTGCGAGGCGCCCTTGGCCCCCATTTTTCTGCCTTTTCTCTCGTCTCCGCCCCGCATCTGCGAGCTCATCTGTGCGTCCCTCCTTCCCCGCGTGTCTGCGCTGTTTGTGTCCTGTGTGTGTCTCCTCTCCTTTTCCCTCTGTCGGTTTGGTAGCTGTAACCCTGTTATTTGTGGTGTTGGGTCAGGGTCTCTGGTAGCCCGCCCGTCCTGTACTCGCTCTGTGGCCAGGCTGGCCTCTCCCTCAGGGCCATCCCCCTGCCCCGCTTCCCCAGCGCTGAGACCCCAGGCATTGGTGTGAGGCCTTTGCTCCAGCGGGAGGGCGCTCCGGCGGGCAGCACACCGCCTTCGTGCTCACACCATGACCTGAAGGCAGCCGAGTGTGCCAGCCGCGCACCTGGCAGAGGGTGGGGGGACAGCCTGGCTACAGCGTGTGCAGCTGTGTGCAGAGATAGGGAGGGAGGCCAGGATGGTGGGGCAGACGATGATGATGGTGATGGTGATGGTGGTGATGATGGTGGTGATGATGGTGGTGATGATGGTGGTGATGGTGATGGTGATGATGATGGTGATGGTGGTGATGATGATGGTGATGGTGATGGTGATGATGGTGATGGTGGTGATGATGATGGTGATGGTGATGATGATGATGGTGATGGTGATG